GATTTCGGCCCGAGCTGCCGCCGCCGTCGCCGCCGTGGGCGATGCGCCGGGCGGCTCGACTTGCGAACTTGCTCAACTTATGCCCGCGCGATGTCGAACTATCGACGAGCATCCGCGAAACTTGGTGAGCGAGCACACCGTGTATCTCTCGAGAAATGTATCGCGGATGCTGAACATGCGCGTCGTTTTACGGAGATTGAAACCCATATAATTTTCACGGAATGGCAATTCCCGCTGATTGCCATTGCGTTTCCATCGCCGTGATTGTCCACGTCGCGCTCGTGTGCCTATAGCTTCCACGGATGTTAATTAAATTGAACTTTACGGACGGACGGAGAATTAGTTTAACTGTGCAGCTGAGTTGAATTAATATTTATACGAAGAACCCCCCCCCTCCCCCCCGAGTACCGTAATCGCGGGACTCGCCGAAATACCGGTTTCGATCTCCGTAATTGAGAAGGCACGTTTATTGCGGCGTTTCTTGACCCTCGACCCCGATCTCGCGGCTCGTCGTTTCGCTCGATATATTTTTCTACCGGATGATTTACATGTCATCACGCGTGGCGTCATTGTTTATCCTCGCGTTCGCGAGATTTTTGTATGCGCGACAGATAAATAACAACCGAGACGACGACGGGGTGGCGGGTTAACCCAGCGTTTCGAATGTTACATATTTGATTGTATATATAAAATACGAATGTAGAATGTGTGTACACACTCTTTTGTAATCATTGTTGTGTCATCGTCGCGCGCAGCGAGATTGTCGCGACGTATGCAATAAAGTGCGACGTGAACCTGTATCCTTTTTTCGATTTGTGTCGTCATCTGCGGCTGTAGAAAGCGCAAAAAAAAGTGAAGAGCGCCGTGTCTCGCGTGACGCGCAACACTCGCAGCGTGTTGATTCTTCGATTACGTGATTTTCTTCCACATTCTCTTTCTTTCATGTTATTTCTTCTATAATTGTTTGATCAATGAATTATGCGCGATGAATTTATTTAACAATGAAGCAACGAGATATTTCAATAATCGTACGTAACGTTTGCATCAAGATTTGCATCAATGATATTCTTAATTAAAAATATCCTCACTTAAAATCTCAAAGCTGTTCATTAAAGGTTGAAGCGGCGACGGTTGAACCACTTTTTGTGCATCTATATTTAGAGGACTGAAACTTGGACTTTGTGTCCCGAGAACAAGTAACTCGTTAACAGATAGAAAGCGATACTTGGAAAATATATGCCGATTAGCATCGCGAGAACGAATGACGCCGATCACGCCGTTTTCGCAGAACGCGACGGGCTGATGTAAACGTGAGGCATTGCGAAGTTTTACCTCGAAGAGATTTCTTCGCGAACGATACATCATTCATCGTACGATGACGACTGAAAGACCAGGCGTCATCATCTTCCAGAAAGAAATCGCGATAAAGCATTCCCGTTTTTCTTCGACAACAGTTTTTTTCAATTCTCTTTAATTGGCGCGATAAGATAAAAATTAACCACTATCTGATTTTCTTATTTAAACAGTACAATTGAATTCTGATACTCGATTCTTATCTGAATCCAACCTTATTTTGATAATATCACTGTGAGCAATTTTACAGTCTTAATGTCATCCTAATCTCGCACAGAAGAGCAATTAGCGTGCAATTGGCGTGAAAGCTGACGGAAGTGGATAATTCAGTTCGAACAATAATTTACGCGCTATTTGTAATCGAGGCGATAAGGGCATGAAATAAAATTCCTTCGCGGGCGTTAACCCCGCGGTACGCTCCGTCCGGCCGATATAACCGCCCCCTCCTGCCCGCCCCCACCCTTTTAGCGCTCGTTAAAGCCGTCGTTAAGCGCGCCCGATTGACTCGTAATTCCACTTTAATTTCTCTCGTACTACGAACAGAAGATGCTCCTCGAGGTATAACACGACCGTGTCCGCCTTGCAGTTGCAGTGAACCGCGACTGCGAGAGCGGACCGGTCGATCTTTTTTCTGCCCCCACGCCGTCCTTCTCGTTCGCATTGCATATGGCCGCGATTTCGAGCGCATTATCGAAAAAAATGTTATCGAACACGCACACGCTGCGGGTAAAATCGTCGATCAATTAGCGTGTAACAACGACGCGAAAAAGAAGCAGACAGATAAAACGCACGATTTTATGCAGGATGTTCCGAGAACTTTAATCTTAACGACAGCAAATGGCAGATACGAGAATTTTATGTTTAAAGCGAAATTAACTTTAAATTTGTCGAAAGAATTTATTTAAAATACGTTTGTCTCTATTTTATTTTATTTTTAATTTGAACGTACACCTGCATTGCAAACAACGTATATATCGCGCAAACTATCTATCTAAGAGCCAAGTAAAAGCTTAATCCGTATTTGCGCGGGACGCTCGTGAAAAATTTGCCAAGTAGCGATTTATTTTTTAGCGCCGCTAACGGCGCAATTACATCGGGGCGTGGTCAAATAGACTGAAATTACAAGCGTCAGGAAATTAAGCCGGTAATTACGCGGATCTGATATTAATTTCCGAGATTCTTTCGCCGTTGAGTGATATGCCGAACTGCGTTACACGTCGCGCAATTTGTAGTTTTTTCGAAGTAGTTTCATCGCGAGAAAACTATGATTAAGTTAATCACCTCTCGTGATAAAAGCTCATAGGTGGAAATTTATCGCACACTTGATCTTCTCTATTTTTTTTCTCATTATTTTTTCCGCCGCTACCTCGTGTTCGCCTAAATATCTGACGTTAATGTGAAAAAGCGAATAACATACGGAAGATAACATTCTATGAATTTTAATATTAATATATAACATCAAAAGAGAATGATATTTATGATAACAGATTATTAGTACGGTATTTTTTTTTAATTTTTATTGTCACATATTCTTGACTCTAACATGGTTACGCAATCATGTGCAACGTAATAAAAGAAGAGAAATAATTAAAAATTTTTATAGTGTATGTATGTTATCAGAGTTATCAGAGTTACGCGCATATTTAAATAACGAACAAATAATTTTACCTTTACTGTGTAAAAGAGAAACATATTTTTCGCGAAACACATTTTAGATTCTTGATTTTTACAATGCTCAACAAAAGAAAAAAAAATATTCGATGAAACGCACTTCGTAGAAGCGATTCTATTGTGTCAATTGTTATATGAAAAATTATATCAATAATTTGCTTAAATCATAATTACAGCTTTTGTTGTTGCCTCAACGAATCGTGCATCTAAAATCTTTAACAATTTAAAAAATCTTTTGCAAAAATATTAAATAATTATTAATAAGTCTAAAAAAAATTTATTTCTTTATATTGAATTTATATGGAACATATTTTTAAAATTTTTCAGAATTTTAGTTTCTAATTGAATAATTTATATTTTCATAAAATTTGTTTCTACATGTAAAATTTATATATTTCGAAAAATTTTAATTTTTATTATTTAAGAGTATACATAATTTACACAAGAAAATATAATATAATATCCATCATTCTGTTAAGATGGGGAGAAAGTAACTACGTATTTATTTATAAACGAGGGTGTGATTATCAAAGCGCGGCCTTTATTATAGCAAATATTAACTGAATAAAAATACCGCGAATAATATTTATATTTTGTGTAATTACAAAAATATAATGAATAATTATTTCACCGATCATTGCACCCTTGTTCTTACCCTAATAATTAGAGGGTAGTGCGTACAGTACTGATTGGCAGTAATGCCAATATTATAACTATTAATTACAAAAGTGTATCGATATCGCTTATCGATATATTCATCGATATATGGTATGCTATCTATCACTCCAGCAAGTTGGCAACATTTACTACGTCACGTACAGTATGCGTTATAATGGCCAATCACGTGCCATATGTACGCAGTCTTGGTTGTGTGCATGTCCCCTCCATGATTGACGTCCATGGAGTCGTATTTTGCTCGTTAAAAGTAGATATTTACATGCGAAATCTTTGTTTAGAGTACCGATTAAAGTAACAAGCGATTGCCAGAACGCATTATTTACCGGAAATACCGCGAGATTTCGCCATCACCGACGATTCACCCCCGGTGTCGCGATACGCTGGGTAGAAACCGTTACGATCCCAATGCAGATTTCGATACCGCGAACGCACGAAACGTTTGCAGCTGCCTATGTTGACTCGAAAAGATCGAAACACGATGTACTTTTCATTAGACGTGAAATGTTAAAAATTCAGTCCGCCAAGTCGACTGAAATGTAGTTATATTATATGTGCGTCCTTACGCGACGACCTGCGCGCGACCTTCGAAGCAAGCGTTCGTCTCACTCGCGCCGAGTATATCAGTACAAGATGTCTTTTGTCTCGCATTCCGTGTGTTTCGCTACGCAGTATATTCGCAGCGATGTGATTTTCGCGTAAGTCAAACGTACGGATTGACCTCTGTTCGGTAGTGCGCGTAACCAGATATCACGTATTCGTCAATTCTTCGATGGAGCTGATACGGAGCCAGCCTACTGCGTTGGATGGTGGATGGAGCACACTGCAATATCCTGGCTGGTGAGTGTAATCATTTGTTCGTTGTTTAAATATTTACATAATTATGATGATATACACATACAATTATTTATGAAAATATTTGTTAAGATGATTGGAAACATTTCTTGAATTTTTATTATATTTCAATAATTATTCACTCACTTTATTGAATATTGTTATATTCTAATCAAAATTGAAATATTTAAATAGCATTGAATAATAATTATAATACAAAAATAGAGGATTTTCTGCCTAACGCTAGTTGTTAATTGCTTATATTACAATCTTATTGAATACACATGTTAACAATTTTCTGGTTAACTTAATTAAACGTTTTGATCACTATTTGATCATCCTCAGCAATTAAAATATAATT